CTATTACTCAAGATTGGGGTGGTCTGGGAAACTAGACCGGAATTTAACAACCAACAAACAATAGATCGTGATAGAAGGATCGCGCAGTCTTAGCTAAGCAATCGAACACAACATTTTGGGACTTAGGCACATAAAATAACTTGAAATCTGGGAAGAAGATCCGCAGCGTCAAGAGCTTCTCCAGTTCCATCGAAAAATTGGCCATTCATGGGGATGTGTGAGCATCGCTATCAGCTCCTTGCAATCCGTCCTAAAGCTCTGACATGGCGAATGTGGAAGCATATTCTTCATCGCCCACCGCAATGCTTCCAGCTCAGAGTGCAAGGCCGACTCCACCCTGCTTACATTACGCAAGCCCATCAACTGACTATTTCCCATTATGTCCTTCCAATTCCAACCACAACCTGAAAATTGATCTGTAGAGGTCCAAGAACCACCTACCAAACATATATCTCCTAGACTTATGACCTGATTGCTAGCATCTATGTTTCTTTGTGATGGCGCAATTTTTTGCTCATTAGCTTGGAACCAGGCAAGACATTCATTTTCCGCATATCGGGTTAGCTCTAGAGGATCTCTATCATTTCCTCGGAACAATTTATGTTCCAAATGTACCATATTAGCCAAAGATAAGGATCACTGACTATTTCTGGCTCCATTATACATTTTTCTTCCAAAATAGATAATTCATATTCACTTTTCAGTGGAAAAAAAGTTGAGCTGGTTGGTACAGATGTCAAAGCCTACACCTAGAAATGCAGTATTTTGTTTAAATTTATTATGTTGGACAAATACTATGCATGTGATGGTGATTGATTCGACTACTACGAACTTATAAACTGCCAATTTTGTACAATCTTGCTCATGGTCCAATTCCCGCTGGACTACTTCTCTCATGATTAAATGCACCCTTCAGACATATATATATCCTCCTGGATTATTAAAAAAATTAAATTTTACAAACGAAAACCAAATTGTTGAAGAATTAATACAAAAAGAATAATATCGTTTAAATCATCAATTTTTAAATTTGACAAAAATAAAGTATCAAGTTTACGTTTGCCAAAAACTCAATTTTTATTGACAAACAAATTTAATTAAAAACTTTTATTTACCATATATTTGTAATTATATCTTTAGTCAAAAATGATAGATCAATAGCAAGCCCAAAATATGTTTTAAAGTTGTTTTTTTAAGAAGAAAAAAATATTTTAGATGATAAATATTGAGGAAAAAGTATTTGAAATAACTATAACACTAATAATTAAAATTAGAAATAAGAAATAATTCCAACCAAAACTATAAATTTTTTCATTTTCTCAAAATAAAAATTTCTAAAATTTTCATTATTTAATATTTAGTTATACATATTATGAATAAATTTTATAATTATTTACGATTATTTTTGTAACTATTTGTATTATCCTATTCATATTATTTTTTATAATTTTTATTTTAAAAAATTGATGATGAAATTTTAATTCATCTTTTGATTCTCAAATGAAAGTTATTGGTTGATGGACTCTTCATAATTCTTTATATTTATAATAATTAAGATATTCGAAATAAAATTTATATAATTCCTATATATGTGTTACAAAAGTTTTTCTGTCTTTAATAAAATATAACTTTCCCCAAAAACTATTAAGATCTACAATGTTCCTACATAAAAATCTATATACCATTATATTTATTCTTCTGATAATAAAAATATTTATTTTATAAACAAGATAAAATTTGACATTAAAATTATGAAACATTATCAAATTAGAACTATATGAATAGTTACAAGTGTGACATAATTATCGCAAATAATTGTAAAATTTTCTGATAATTATTTATAATGAGAAAATTATACAAATTTTACTTTGAAGAAAATAATGAAAAAATAATATTTCATTTATTAAATATTATAATTACTAAATAGTTTATCCTAAAAAGATAACATCTAAATTACTGAACAAAAGTTTGATTTATATTTATACAAAAAAGCATCAATTTGAAAAGTTATTTTAGTCATAATTTTAGTCAACTATAACTATTAATCAACAATATGACTAAGATAGTATGATTTATAAATATTTATGATTAAAATAGATTGTTAACACACATTGAATGTTCTTTGTTAACACACATTGAATGTTTTTTTGGTTTACGAAAAATTGATGTTTTATTTCAATCAAATTTGAAAGTTGATGATTTAAATGACATTTTACTAAATACAAATGCTTGTCTAAAAATACGGGTGTCTAGCTGCGTAGGCTACGTAGTCGTTAAGTGGAGCCAAGCGGTGGGGAGAAGTGCAATTCGATGACTCAATGCGGTGGTCTGATCAATTCCAGCTTGCTCACATAAATTTGTCACGCTCTTGCCTACTTTAACTCGTGAACTAAATTTTAATTTGCGTAGCCGCATGTGCATTTAATTTCATCTATATATTTATCGGTATTTGTTATATATATATATATATATATATATATATATATATATATATAACGTTAAGGATATGTTAAAATTTTATAACAATTTCAAATACAGTAATTTTATATGTTGTACTTAATCAATTGTTTAAAATCGTCACATGTATTTATTGTTTTTTATTATATTATCTTGATGAATTTACATTTGTTTATTAACGGGATTAATATATGCATAAAACAACATATTTAATGTAAAATATATTAATATATCAACTTAATATAATTTTATCCTATTTAGTTCAGTAAATGTATATATGTATATATATATCTATATTTAAAATGAAAAGATATTATGATTAAAAAAGATACATAGATTTTATATTATAAATTTTAAGAAAATTCATTTATAAATAACTAGGAAGATCTAACTATAAAATCACACATGAAATAAGATTATGATTTTTATTTTAATAGAATAAATATACGTAAATCCAATAATTTGATAGTTGCCCACAAGACCTAAAATGTGTTGAAACCAGCAATGTCCATTAACTCAGTTTAGGTTGAGTATCCTTTTACATTTTTTGGGTATGTTCTCAAGATCAAAAATTTTTCTATCCCATGAATTGCTTTTTTTTTTTTGTAGTTTTTGAGTCAAATGTATATTTAAAAACTATTTTTATTTAGAAACGTAACATATGTCTGTGTAAGAAATTTTATATTTACTATTTTTCCGGGCTACGCGCAGACTACATGTTTAAAATTTATTTCTTTATTTCTTATTATTTTATAAATTTTTTATTTTATTTTATATTTAAAATATTTTTTACTTAATATTTCCATTTTCATTTTCTTTTGTGCATAAATTTTTTTTTTAAAAATTCTTTGTTTCATAATGTAAAATACTATATAAATGATTTGTTGTTTGAAAATGTATGATTTTTGATACTTTAAGTTTCTTTTTACTTTTAAAAATATTTGACCAATAAGATTATATTTTATTATTTATGTTTGATTAACTCAGTTTAAATTTATATTATTAATACTATTTTAAACTACTTTATTCTTATGCATATGACCAAAAAATTATATCCTAATAGGAATTATCTGCACGGGCGTCGTAAGACACCATGATTACAATACCATCACTATGGAAATTAATTTTAGTCTATCTTATTGTTTTATAAACATGACGTTATGATTCTCTACAATGTTGACTATTAGTCTACAGAATGTTGAAATATATATTCTTCACTTTTACTGTTGGTGAATCTTTTCTTTGTATATTTGTCAACCTGGTTTTGCTAAAAACATGTGAGATAACAACATATAATTATCTATGAGTGAAAAATGGTTTTGGTAAATATAAGAAAATCTGTTTTAGCTTAGATCTCAGTTCTTGTTTATTGTCATAGTGTAACATAGTTTGATAAGACATTGGTGCCTATATAGTAGTAGTCTTTCCCCAACGTGAGAACTGCTGAGCATTTCTTCTTTCGATCGCTAAGTAAATCACAATGAGTCGCGTGCCCATTACACAAGCATCTTCTTTGATTGATGTTTCGAAAAAGCATAATAGAGACCAACTTTAAATGTGAACCTAGCTATGTAAATACATATCTGAGAATTCAAAACCAAAAAATACTCAAGAGCTTATAATGTTAAAAAATTACTCAAGAGCTAATAATGTTATATTATGTGATGGTGCAAGTATAGCTCTTTTAGTGGCAAAGTTGTAGAATGCTTTCAATTTTTTCGACCATTTGTTTGCTTTTTATTTTACCATTTGTACTCTCCACCACTTGTTTGCTTTTTCTTTTTACCATTTGTTTGCTTGGTTCTTCATTAATCCTCTTAACCAATTATACGGATCAGAGTTCTCTATGGTGATGTGCCAATATGTTTTTCCGAATTTTGATACCCAATAATTCTCTAAAACCAACAGCTTATTCATTCATTTTAAAAATATAAGAATAAATTGCTTTATTTTGTGGTCTTTATTCGATACGCTAAATGGAATATATAAATACTTATGTCATATTATTCATTAGTTTTTGTTAATAAATCCAAATGGTAGAGTTAGATTGTATGCTTGGTTTAATAAGAAATATTTTAAATTTGATTAGTAATATAAGATGTTTTACAGAAACATATATATATATATATATATATATATTTTAAGTATCACTAAATATAATTTAAATTAATTTATTAAATTATAAATAGTAATAGTAAATATAATTTTGTAGACTTTTATAAAGTTAAAACTTAAAACTTATTTTAGAAAAATTTATATTGTGAAACAGTAAATAAACAAAAAGAGTATTATATCCAATATCTTAATATTTATTAGGAATATGCTTTGTTTTTCTTAAATTTATTGAAAACAATTCATATAAATTTAGACGTATATTTTAGTTTAATAAAAGTTTATGGATCACCAGCTCCGTAAACTCTGGTATTATATAATCTCACGAACGGTCATTGTTCCGAGACAGTAATATTAAGGCTTCTTGACTCCTCCAGTGGTCGGTGCAGATTTTCTTAACGGTGAGGCTTTTTCCCATCCGTGTGATTAGATTAATTATCACCTTGCATCCTGCGGAAATACCTCTCTTGTAGCCACTGAGTTACGGAAAAAGATTCTTGCATAAGTGTAAGGAACAGCGGTTTAGATCCGGATGCTCCTAGACAGACATCAGCGTGTTTAGGTGATGATCCAAAACTGTAAGAATTCTACTGCCACCATCAGCTTAGCTTCCCAAGCATGGGTTCGTATTTGTCGTATTTTCCTTATAGATATTGACAATTAATCTTAGTTTGTGTTATTTTATTGTGTTACCATGGAAGCAGTCTCCTTCATAGCTTCATACGTCACCATTTTGAATTTCTTATGATGAATCCTCTTCTACAAAATCACATTTAAATTCATGAACAAATTTCATATATAGTGAATAATATAACAAAAATAATAAGAAAGTCAAGTTTCTAAAACTTAGTTACTACATATACGACAAAACAACAATTTATCTTATTTAATATACAATGTACATTTTAAATATAAAACTTTAATTTCTTTAAATTAATAAAATATTATAATTTAAATATTATTAATTGATAGAGTTTATCCAATAGGAGAATGCACACAATCACACATCTTACTTGACCGAAATCACACCTACTGACTTGGATAAGTTATAAGATTTTATATAATATCAAATCAAATTAAACCAAACGAAACCTGTGCTTTGGTTTGTTGGCCACAGAATACTGCAGAATGGGTAGTATCTACCAAGTCAAACTCTGGTTTCCATCGAAGGACATGCTTTGCTTTCTCCACCGACGCAGAGAAATGCTGTAAGATCAGACATAAAACAAAAACAGCAGTTTTATTTTTTTTTAAATTAAATTCGTTGATGTTGTGCAGAGTGAATCATTTGAATGTTTGGAGGTTTACCTGGTCACGGAAAGGGAAAGCCTTCTTCTTCACAAAGTCAAACTCTTTAGGGTTGTAGTGAACAATCTCTGGCTCTGGAAACACACCAGCCTGATAAGAGTTTAAAACATTACAAGTTTTACATCACTTGCAACTCAAGTTACTCAAGAAATAATCCAAAAAAAGACTCAAGTGTTATGTACCTTAGCGCAAGCTCTTGATAAGCCATCAAATGTGACATACTTCTCTCCTGAGATGTTGAATATCTCTCTGCTGGCTTTCTCGTTACCAAGCACGGCGAGAAAGGCTGTTGCGAAGTCCTGAAAATTACATAAAACATTGATTTGACGTTATAGATGATTACACTCTTGAAGCAAGATCAGAGAGCTCAAGACTAAATGAGAAAGTAGGTATGTGTGACCTTAACGTGACCGAGTTATGAGACTTGGATGCCAGAGTTTGGACTGGGATAGGGCGACCAACTTTGAGGCAGTGGAAGAACCATTCTTCAACGGTGTTGTTGTTTAATGGACCGTAGATGTAGACAGGACGTATAGAGTCTAGTTTACACCTTTTGATTGCAGTAAGCTCGCTGTCTCTAGCTTCCCCTTGTGCCTACTCTTTGGGTCAACTGCATCCACCTGCATCAGTTATGTGCCAAATAAATATGAGATTAAATATGAGATTACATATGAACAGATCACAAAACATTTTATAAATGGAGAAATCAAGAGAGTTTACTACAGCTCAATAGTAAGATTAGTTTACATACCTCACAATGTGGCAAGATATCAGATTTCAGGTAAACACCCGCTGAAGAACAGTAGATGTACCTATACAAAATTAATTTTAAATGAAGAGGCAGTGTACTATAACTGCAAAGCACTTGAATGAAGACTCTACACAGAAGAAGAAGATAAGACACATGTTAAATGAAGATAAATGAAAAAGCAAAATAAATCTAAACTTATCGCTTACCCAATCAACAATCTTGGAACAATGTATCTCACTTGACCCATTACGCATGAATCAAAGCCGTACGTAACCTACAAAATATACACATGCTAGGGTGAATAATAATATCTTGGAAGAATTTTGTTTTTTTATCCATTAAAAAAAGGAAGCAAGAGTCCTTTTGACTGTTTTACCCAAATCCAAAAGAAGAAGGCAATCTCGAAAGCATTCTGGAAGAGGATGAAATGAATCAAGAAGAGAACAAAACTCAGGTTTGCTGAACCATAAATGCTCATGTGATGGTTTCACCACTAAGTCTCCTTCAATGGCTACATGCTTTTCTGCAACTTCGTGAGCTAACTTTGATATCACATGCTCCAACTTTGTTCCCACTGCAAGAAGCAGCTTCACAAGAAAGGGAAACACACGTTTAGTTAAAAAATGAAGAAGATTCAGATAAAACAAAACGCGAAACAATAAAATAAAATTGACTCACGATGAAGGGAATGAATGCTATCCAGAAATATGAGTGCCATCCTGCAAGAATACAGAAAATATATAGGCTTCCATATTCTCTATATTAACTAAAGATCGAAAAAGACTTAAAACTTTTGTGGAGGCGTTACCATTAACATTAAGAAGCAAAAAGATGACGAAGAAAATCCAAAGCTACCAACTAATACCAACAACATGTTTGAAATCATCCTCAAGAGCTCTAATCGTGTACCTGTGGAAGTTCAGCTTTGGGTTTCCTTTACAATGCGTCTGTAGTAGATAATACCACATTTTACTCTAAAATTATTAAAATCCAAACTTTTGCTTACAAAATTTTACCATAATGAAACCAAGGTGCAGAGTCAGGTAATCTGCTTTCGTCACAGATCCATAGAATTGCTTGAAGAATGATTGATGTCATGTAAAAAAGACATAACCTCAACATCATTTATGTAGTTCCAAAAAGAAAAAGAACATTTACTTAGGAAATAACCTTACCGTCCATCCGAGGAAGACTGAATCTTTACCAGTACCCAATACCGAGAAAATGCTCTTTAATAAAAGCATGTTGGTGTACATGAGTCACCGTTTTATCCTCAAGTGCTGCCAAAAGGAACAATGTAAACTATTACTTACAAAGCATCTTTTCACTGAAATAAATAACTCAAGAAGCGATGAAGTACCTGCTTCAGGGTCAAAACTCTCGTCTGTAAACACATCTTCCCACTTCTTCCATTTGGTAGATCTGAATTATAGAAATACATGAATTAAACACTGGTTTTACAACCTGAGATTAACTGACAAAATATACAGTTTTTAAACTCACCCTAGTGCTTCCAAAAACCACTGTAAGAGCACAGAATGTCACATGGGAAATGGTGGTACGAAGATGAAGATATGTAGATGGTGTGACGCCTCTAGTGAAAGCAACGGTGTTTTATCCTACAAACAAAAAGCCAATAATTAGCATAGGAAAAAGAAAAAGAAAAGAGAGATGTATACTTTTTTAAAAAAAGATCTAATCTTAAGGCTACAATAACCAGCTTCAGCAGCAGCATGTTCAGCTAGTATACGCCTAGTGATCCCTGTTAGATAAGATACAATAAGTATTGTTAGAGTATATATAAATACGTATCTGATTTGTGTATATCTGCTCCTATAGATAAGGATGCCTATCTTGTATATATATTGATACGATGAATACAGAACTCTCTACGGAGACTTACATTCTAACATGGTATCAGAAGCTTAATTAGCCACCAAGCTATTTGATCCTCTCCGCTTTCTTTTTCTCTCTTCTTAATCTCTTACATCTCTTCTTTATTCTTCTTTCTCTCTCTCTTTTACCATGGCTGTCATCAATTCATTAAAAGACAAGCCCTTTGGTATTTCTCAAATCAAAGCGTATATTCCGATAACGCTTGACATGAAAAAGCTCAACTATCAAGTCTGGCGAGAAGTCTTTGAAACTCACTGCACAAGCTTTGGTGTCCTTGGTCATCTTGATGGATCTCTACTGTCAACTCCAGATACAGAAAAAGAATGGAAAGAGCACGATGGATTAGTCAAGATGTGGATTTATGGAACAATCTCCGACTCAATTCTGAAAACCATTCTCACAACGAAGTGCACTGCTCGAGATCTATGGCTCAAAATCGAGAATCTGTTCAGAGATAATAAAGAAGCACGTGCTCTGCAACTTGAGAACGAGCTACGCACCCTTGTGATTGGTGATCTCTCAGTCCACGAGTATTGCAACAAACTAAAGACGGTGTCGGATCTATTGGCCAATCTAGACTCTCCAGTATCTGAAAAATCATTAGTCATGCATCTGCTGAATGGTTTATCAAAAAAGTTTGATAATATCATCAATGTTATCAAACACAGAGTCCCCTTTCCTAGCTTTCATGAGACTCAATCCATGTTGTCTATGGAAGAAGATCGGATAACAAAACAAGTCAAGCCTACTATCTCTCATACCGACAACGCCTCTACTCCTGCAATTCTATACACGGATTCTGCCTCACAACAACCTAACTCCAACAACGGCAACAATGGCACTCATTCCAACAACAACAACAACGGCCAGTCATACTACAACAATGGAGGCTCGCATCGGGGGAATCGCGGTCGTGGACATGGAGGTCGCAACAACCGTGGACGTGGTGGACGCTACAACAACTGGAATACACCGTTCTACACTCAGAATTGGCAATTTGGGCAACCACAATGGCCTACATTCCTTCAACAAACATCACCGTTCATGAATACATATCCAATGGGTCAACAGAAAGTGTTCACAAATCAACCAGGAATTCTAGGTCCACGTCCAGGTGCTCCCCAGCCAAATCAAGCTCACTCATTTGTCGCATCTCAAGCTGCGCAACCAATGCTCACCAACATACCTGCGAACCTGGCACATGCGTTCAACACAATGACGTTGGAGGATCCGAGTAATGCGTCTTGGTACTTTGACACTGGAGCGACAAACCACATAGCCTCAGATCAAGGTACTCTTCGTTCCATTGTTAATACGAGCAAGTTACCTTCTGTCATCGTTGGATTGGCTCGTATGCACCTGTTACAAAACTGGGTCAGGGAGTTATTCCATCTCTTTCTCGTCCTTTTCATCTTCGCAACGTTCTTGTCTGCCCTTCTATTATTAAAAATTTAATCTCTGTTCGTAAATTTGTTACAATTTTTGCTCTCTTGAATTTGATCCTTTTGGTTTTTCAATTAAGGATCTTCGCACTCGGACAACTCTGCTCCGTTGCAATAGTCAGGGACCGCTCTACCCCATCACATCATCCTCGCAACCCTCTCATCCTCTTGCTTTAGCATCTTCTCACAGTAGCTCCTCTCTTTGGCATCGAAGACTAGGTCATCCAAGTGATCAAGTTCTTCAACGTATTCTTTCATTGCTTTCTCTTAGCTTTAATAAGACTGACTTGACAAGTTTGTGTCAAGCATGTCAACTTGGTAAACACACCAGACTTCCTTTTTATACATCTCATAGCATTACTTCTCAGCCTTTTGACATTATTCATTCAGATATTTGGACGTCTCCTGTTTTAAGTGTTAGTGGTTTCAAATATTATCTTCTTTTTCTTGACCAATACTCACACTTTCTTTGGATTTTTCCACTTCATAGAAAAAGCGATACGTTTACAAAATATCTGCAGTTCACTAAATATGTGCAAACTCAGTTCAACTGCACTATCAAAGCTCTTCAATGTGACAACGGTGGGGAGTATGATAACAAGGCGTTCAAAGATTATTTGGCATCACAAGGAACAACAATTCGCTTCTCATGTCCATACACGTCACAGCAGAACGGCCGCTCCGAAAGGATGCTTCGCACTATCAACAATCTAGTTCGAACAATCCTTCATCAAGCTTCCTTGCCACTCACGTTTTGGGTCGAAGCCCTTCACACTGCGGTGCATATTCTCAACCTACTCCCATCATCAGCCATCAACAACGAAGTACCACTCACCAAGCTGTTCAAAACGCCAGTCAAATATACGCACCTACGCACGTTTGGGTGTCTCTGCTATCCCAATCTACTACCCACGACGGCACACAAGCTGGCACCTCGTTCAACTCCATGCATTTTCCTTGGCTACCCAAACGATCACCGCGGCTACAGATGCCTTGATTTGAAGACCAGAAAAATCATACTCTCCCGCCATGTCACATTCGATGAAGCAATATTTCCTTTCTCAGCTATCTCTTCTCCAACTGTAAGTTCTCCCATTATCTCTTTCCCACCACCACCAATTATAAAGCGTCCTGCTGTTATTTTACCTCCTCCTCCTACTTCTTCTTCTACTACTCTTCCTTCTCAATCTAATCACCCTATGGTCACTCACAGCAAAAGTGGTATCATTAAACCACGAATTCCGTTGTGTCTTCATTCTGATACAACTATTTCTCCTCTACCTGTGTCTCACGTACAGGCTGCTAAGGATCCGAACTGGAATCCATCAATGACAGAAGAATATAATGCTCATATTAAACGTGGAACGTGGAAACTTGTACCACGACCTGTTGCTACTAACATTATACGTTCTTTGTGGTTGTTCAGGCACAAATTCCATGCAGATGGCACGCTGAAACGATACAAATCCAGGCTGGTCGCTAATGGAAAGTCTCAGCAACCCGGGATCGATTGTGAAGAGACATTCAGCCCAGTTGTCAAACCAGCAACCATTCGAACTGTTCTCCACGTGGCCACCGCACGAGACTGGCCACTTCATCAACTTGATGTCAAAAACGCGTTTCTTCATGGAAACCTTGAAGAGACTGTGTACATGCATCAACCTCCTGGCTTTGTTGATCCAGCGAAACCAGATCATGTGTGTCTTCTCCAGCGAGCGATATACGGTCTTAAACAAGCCCCGCGCACCTGGTATAACAGATTTGCTGCCTTTGCAAAGAAAATTGGATTCACGCAGAGCCAATCCGACACCTCATTATTCATCTTTTCACGGCAAGCTGAGACAGCATATCTCTTATTATATGTCGATGACATTGTTCTCACAGCCTCGTCACAGCAACTTCTCAGTCGTATAATCTCAGCATTCAAAACAGAGTTTGACATGACTGATCTTGGTAGTCTTCATCACTTTCTTGGCATCTCGGTTCATCGAGACAAGCAAGGCTTATTTCTGCATCAACAAAACTACGCGGCTGACATCCTGCATCGTGCTGGCATGACCGACTGTAATCCGTGCATCACACCTGCAGATACAAAGTCCAAACTTGCAGCTGATGATGGACTACCAGTCTCTGGTCCCTCCTTATATCGAAGCCTTGCTGGAGCTCTTCAATACCTCACTTTTACTCGACCGGATATTGCATTCGCAGTTCAACAAGTATGTATGTTCATGCATGACCCACGTGAACCGCACCTAAATGCTCTCAAGCGTGTACTTCGGTATGTCAAGGGTACTATTACTCACGGTCTGCGTCTTCACAAGTCAACTTCCTCCGGGTTAGTTGCTTACTCTGATGCTGATTGGGCTGGTTGCCCGACTACTCGACGATCCACATCTGGCTACTGCGTATTCCTTGGCGACAATCTCGTCTCTTGGTCATCCAAGCGTCAAGACATAGTCTCCAGGTCAAGCGCAGAAGCAGAATATCGGGGTGTTGCTAATGCAGTATCGGAGGCTACTTGGCTTCGTACTCTCTTGCTTGAAATGAGAATTCCTATCGCTCGGGCTACAGTAGTCTATTGTGACAATGTCTCTGCCATCTACATGTCCTCCAATCCAGTCAAACACCAA